TAATTCTTAGAAGCATGTGAAGTGACATCTCCTGCACTTGTAAGGTCCAATTCAAAGTGATTGTAACATAGAGACAATTCATTGCAAAGTGATGTAACTGAGTAGTACTCCCGGGACTGTCCCTTGTGATGTGTTAGGAAAACCAGTGGAGAAGAGGATGTAACATAAAGCAAGGGAAGTAGCACTACTTTAATGTGGATTTTCTCTGGCCACCTGCTCATTGCTTTTCCTGCCCCTTTTCTGCCTTGTGGTCTTTCCTTGTAGTGGTTACATTCTCTTTCCAACTCACATCAGACCAGAAGATATATCACATCTGATTTTAGATTGTTGATGGCCAAAGTCATTCTTTGCATTCAGCAGCACTGCGGAGCAAATCCCAAGGAGTTTCTCAGTGTAGATGCTTATAAACCTACCCATTTGGCTCTGTGAACCAGTATTTTGATGACCAGTAACAGAGAGCACCAAACATGCACATAGCTGGAGTTGCAGCCAGCACAAAAATATTTTTTTCCGAAGGGAACGGAGGGTCAGATTGTAACTTGACCTGATGTTTCATGCTGCTTTTCCTACAGAGAAAGTAAGGCTTTATCATTCCCACTGATTATTCAGCTGAGAATAAAGATGAGGTCCAGATTACGATTTCATTGTCCCCGTGAGACTGTCAACAGCACACAAGCCAAGCACAGGCATGGGAGACTACCAGTCTTGCTATAACTTAGTCATTTTGAGGAGCTCTGTAGCTCTTTCTGTGCCACAAGCATGGTGAATAGAGGAAGGGAAGAGATAGCATGTATAATCTTGGCTTAAAACTTAAAAAACTTGAGCCAGAAAGAAAGAATCTTACAATATTTTTTTTTTCTTTCTGTAGGTAGTAGACAAATAGAGCTTAGTTTCCTATGGTTTTATGTGTTGCCCTTTTTTTTTTCCCCCCATAAACCTTCTTATCACAATAGCCCCAATTTATAACTCTGTGACTTCTATAACATCCAAGCTAATGCTTATTGGTTAGCAGGGTGCTAGCAAATGTTGCACCTGACATCTTTCTGCTTGTTCTTCAGTGGGAGAACCAATTTTGATGTCTTTTTCCTGCCCACCTAGTGCTTTTCAGAGAGCTAAAGGGGAGATCCAGAGCTAGGAACTATATAGATTATTCGCACATGTACACATTTCCCCAAGTATACAGCCTTTTGAGTCACCATGGGAAGAGAAGTTGGAAGGAAACTCGCTATTAAAAATTTCAAATCCACTTGCTACACAATCCAAGTTCTCTATTACTTGTCATTTTGCATAGGAAAAAAAAATGCAGCGTTTCATGTACTTGATGCTTAAATGATAAAGCTGCTTTAGAAATTCAACATGTTGATGGCTTTCTTGGGAGTGGTTGTTGTTTGAGGATAAAGGGAACCGTAACTAAGACCTTCCTTCATCCCACCTTAACGTTCCCTCTCATGCTGAAAAGGCAAAACCTTTGACTTAGTGAGAAAGTGGTTTCTGAGTTACAGCTCTGGATGAATGCATGAGGAGTGGGAGCAGAGTATGCTCTGCACTGAGTGAAATAGTTGGGCTTCCCCGCTCCCTTCCTTGTCAGCGAGGAATCTTTTATGCTTGCCTGTTTATATCTCTTACTTCTTCTCTTTCAGGAACTGGAGTATCAGAAGAGACGCATGCGGGAATCAGGGGACAGGTTCGTTCCTGTCATGAGCGACTTCATCACTGTGGCCAGTTTCAGCTTCTCGGAGTTAGAAGACCTTCTCAACGAGGCTAGAGACAAGGTAAGAATACCTTTTGAAGTGTTTGGGGTTTCACTGGCTCAGTCAAAAGCCTGAATCAAAACAGAAGCAGCAAATTTCAGATGCTGGGACTGTAGTGAAAAATATAATAGACACTGAAAGTGGTTTAGGCTGAAGTTTCTTACTTTTTCCTAATCTGGTCTATAGCCATTTAGAATATGCTTTAGAATTAAAAGGAGGTTCAATGCTCTTGCTCACTTCTTGCTAATCTTCCTTAACATTATCTACGTGTGGCATAGAATTGCCATGGCAATGTCTGTACCAGGATACCACACCGTGCCGTGGTGTTGAAGGGACTGCCTTTTGAGCAATCTCTCAAAAAGAGGTCCTTTGGTGAGTAGTGATAGTGACCTCATATATTTTACCTTCTGCTTCTGACTTCATCCCACTCTGCTCATTCAGCTAGGGACATTTGTGCTGCATTTCTTTCCTTTAAAAATGCAGCTCTGTGTAGTTTGGTAACCCTGAATACCTGATCTTTTCCACTTACGCTTCTCTGTTACTGCTTGTATTTCATTGCAAGGATAGAAATCCCAAACATGTGTGGTTTGTCGGATGGTCTTGGATCCTTCTTACACAGCCAGCACCATGTGTGTGTTACTTTTCAGGTGCTGCTGTGATCATTTTGTCCTTTCACCGTCTGCATCTTCATTACCAGATTTGTACAGCTAAGGAGGTGCTTGTTCTTTGCTGATGATTGGAGTCTGGCACTAATCCCTCTGTCTCTCAGCTGAATGAGGAAGAATTTATGTGAAAAGATCACAAGCATATGAAAATGTTTAGAGAAGAGCAAGTTCTAAAGTAAACGATATGTAATGGCAAATCTGCCCTTGTTGGCTGGCATGTTAAAAGTGCTTGGCTTTATGAAGCAAATGCGTTATTTCTTTTGGATCGAATTGTTTCCACCACTGGTGTCAGTCCTTGTAGCGTTAAGGGACCTATTGCATTATTAATGAAACCTGTGCCGTTGGATTGGTAGGCCTTAGATTTTGAAGGACAGGTAAAATACAGACTGAGGATCTGAACAGTAAGAATCCTCACTCATCCAGTCGCGCTGCAGTAATGTCATTCTGTAATTCAAAAGCATTTCCATGCTGTGGAGATAATGTTGATAATACTGACTTGCAGCTGCAAACACCAGGAGCTACTGGCTGTCAGCTAGAGCTAGCTGCCCTGGCAAATGCCGGTGGGGCAGTAGTTATTACAGCACTCTGAAGGCAAAGCTGGGCAGTCTAACACTTGTTAATGTTGTAAGGAAATTTTGTGGAGAATGACATGCCTAATTTTTTCATTGTTGTCATGTTGCTTGGGGAGATTCAAACTGCTTCCAACATAATAATGTTCGCACCATACTGGCTTTATAATCACAAAAACAATATTTTACATTCCATGCCTCCACTAAATGTACTGAGAAAAGCTCAATTTTCTATGGTTTGGGGGCTTCTGTTTCATGACTCGGTAAATTTTTCAACTTCAATATAGATAGGTGCATATTTCTGGAAGCGAATTCGCTCTCTCCTTGCCTTAGACTGCCCGCTTTTGGTTTGGTGTTATAGACGGTGGTGGTACTTTCTTTTGGCACGCTAGGACAAAAGCCCAACACAGATTCTTTACAAGGTCAGTCAGGGGTTAAAAACCAGCAAGTGGTACATTTCCAGCACAGCAATGCAACTTTTCTTGATCAGGCACTTGCAGGAAAAATGCCGCTCTTTTGCTTTAAGAATAACCAGAGAATCTCCCTACAGACGGACCAATATGTCTGGAAGTTGTTGCATGATTTTTTAGACATAGCCAACATAAAGCACTGGACATAAAGAGATGTTTTATTTTAATGACTATAACATGCTTAGGAAACGTTTCCCTACCTTCTCCTCGCACACCCTTACTATGTTTGAACACATGCCATTCCAACTTCTGCTCAACCTATGGCTTTGGTTCTTCCACTGGCAAAAAGCTGCTTTTGGACTCCTAAAAGGGAACTGTCTGTCCTTACCAATGCTGAGCTATTTCTCATGTTTGCCTCATATTATTTTTCCCTTCTCTTCTTCCTCTTTTTCCTCTTTTTTCTTAAAAAAGAAAAAAAAAAGGGAAAAAGAAAGCTGGAAATTTTCAACAAACCAGATGTGCTTTGCAAAGCCTATAACATCTTCCAACCTCAATGGGCTCTCTGTGTTTGTTGAATCACAAGCTTTTTTCTTACCATGGAAACCTACTATAACTAGCCAATTAAAGGAAGAGAGGGACCAAGACATCTGATTATCCTGTTCGGTTTTTGATTTGTCAAAGCAAATTGAAAAAAAAGGTAGTGGGAGAGGGAGGACTTTTAAAAATATCCTAATGAGCCCAGGAAGAATTGGTCTGGTTCACAGATTTATTAATAATAATGAAGCCCTAGTTTAACAGCTGGAGTTGGATATCCTTCTAAATATAGATGTGGCTAATTGATTGCCGTGAGTTAATCAGAGCCATGTTTCCTCAGCTGGGATTTAAAACAATACAAATTATCTTTTCAAACCTGGGAATTTTTTAATTTTGTTTTCAATGTCTTTAGTATTAGCAAAAGTAATTTCTTTACTCCTTTAAGTTATGGAAACAATCCATTACCAAGGTATGGCACTGACCCTCTCTGTAGAGGATATTTTTCACAATCCCATGCAGTACTTTTTTTGGCCTTTTTGCTTAAACAGGACCATTTGCAGTTAGTGGCCATGGGGAGGAAGTGATATTTTAAATTTAAAGGGCCAGGCTGTCAGATGCAGGCATTCATGTTTGCAGAGGAAGCCTTGTAACTGTACTTATCTTCATGCAGTAAACAGATGGCTTGGTTAAGAACTGATTGAAAACTTAGACTGACTCTTAAACAGGCTCCCTAGCACAGCTGGTTCTTGTTCTTTTTGTGTTTTTCTCACTTTCAATACCACTTTATAAGGGAATATATAGATTAGATCAAGGGATAATATTTTCTGCCATTTCCCATAAACTGGAAGGTGGGGGCGGAAGAAAGTGAAATCCTGCCCTGGAATCATTCACCAGTTTTTACGTGTTTGAACAGATGAAAAATTGACTTTTTTCATCAGAAAGAACAGAATGGGGTTGAATTTTGCTTGTGATTTTTTTTCCCTGTGTTTCCTGTGGGGAAGCAATGAAAATGCCCAGGCAAAGGAACAGTGACCTCCCATGGTATGAATTTTATTTTCCTACTTGAAAAAGGTGACATTTGCCCTATATGAAGCTTTACAATATGCTTACATGTTGACAGGTATGAACTTAGATTGCTACACTGCTCCGTAACTGTTCTACTTTGTGCTTGATTGATAACAAACCTGTTTTTAAAACATTTTGGATCTTCTGAGAAGAACAAAGTCTGCTTAGTCAGGTATTGCCTAACTTAAGCCTCTCTATAGAGGCACAATGGAGGCCACTGCCTGGGCAAGGCTGATGAGGCAGGTAGGAAAAGCGTCCATCCCCAGTCTTTCTCATGACAGCTCCTCTCAAGCAGGGTGCTTACTATCACGGATACAGGAGTTCAGACTCTGCACGTGCATTTAATAAGCTTGGCACATATAGTAACTGTTTTGAAGAACAGCAAGGCAGTGAAAGCCAAAATCTATTTAAGAAAATAGTCATTAATGGCAGAGTACTATGAAGCACACAGAAATACTGTAGTCCGAGTGCCAGTCATTCATTTTGGGGGACCAATATTTTCTGTCAGCCACTGGGGCTAATGAATAAGGAATGGATCAGGACAGAGACTGAGGAAGTCAAAACAAGGTATGTTACAAATGGCTGTCAGAAACAGCCATTTGGTAAATAAATTAGGTAGCTGTTGTACAGTAACTTAGAACTGCAGATGCTTCAGGGCAGGTTGGCAACTAACATATCAGAAATGTTTATAGCACCTGTATCTCAAGTTTGGGACTGCCAGAGTCACTGTCAAACTCCTGGGAGAATCCTTTTAAGAGCATTTAGGCGCAAGGAGAGCTGGGCCCAGCCCTACCTGAAATTGGCTGGGCTCTTTCCATTAACTGATCTGAATCTGTCCCATAAAGAGAACAGACATTTATTTGAACTGCCTCGGTTCAGGATTGGAATCTTCATAACAACAAACTCAAGATTGCTTCTCTGGGGAAGACAGTTCATGTTGCATGGCTACATGGTATAATTAATTCGTGCATTGGCTCCTTGCAATAGCAGACAGCAGGAAATTTTTATCATGGCTGGTTTTCTTCCTTCTCATAGAGCCCCGTTCCTGCCGTTTCCAGAGCTCTTCTGCCACTGTTTAACATTTCGTTGGCAAGCGCAGCAGAGAGAGTGTGTGCTGCTGTCCCGCTTTCCCTCTCGTTGCTAAAATGGCTTTTTAAAATAAACAACTGTCTAAATGATTTGCTTTGGCAAGAAGATGAATTCAGTGGAAAGTTTGGCAGAGGAAGCAGAGCTGGCACTGAGCTTGTGGACCTGTTATATCATGGAGCTTGGGGGCCCTTATGGTGTGGAAATGATTTTTTTTAATGAAAAAAAAGAGATACCATCCTGTATTACAGTGGAAAACCTGCTGAAACAGTTTTCCATCTTGCTTTTGCCCATGTCATCTGTCCCCAAATGACTTCAGTAATAAGCAAGTTTCAGCCCTCGTTCCGCGATATTACAGCACGTCACAAAATTCTGGGAAGCATTTTGTGTGCATGAGGACTTAGCTACAGATTTCACAATTGTGCATGAGAGGGCATGGGAATCTGCCCATGGAGCAGTTGAGTGATTTGTACAGGGTGACACAAATCCTGCGGTGGAGAGCAGAAGAGAGGGCTGGGGTCCAGAGCACCTCGGTCTGCCCCATGCTGCCTCTTACACCCTGAGCGAGGCAGGCAGTATGATTTTAGCCACTGTGGGCAGGTAGGAGCCTGAGCTTTGTACCAGGGTTGGGGAGGCTGCCTCCAGCAGCTCACTGCCCCTCGTCCCAGCACCGGTGCTTTGAAAAAGCACACGTGATCGCAGAACCAGAGCTACGGGGAAATAGAAGAAGTAATAAAAACAGAGGGGTCTGTTGCAGTTTTAACAGTGAAAAGACAGTGCGACTCTCTTTACAATAGTGCATTGAATTGATGTAGTGCCCTACAGATGTGAACAACTGATTTTTTGCCGTTTCCTATATCAGATTAGTGGGGCAACACTTTCTGTTCTGTAACGAATGGAGAAAGGAAGGCTCAGAAAGGGAGCATGAGTTCCCAAGCCACATCATGGGCAGAGCTGGCAGTGGAGGCTGGATCTCCTGACTTGCCTTCCTCTGCTCAGTCAGCTTTTTTCTGGAGCGGGTAGAGAAAGAAGGAAAATGTTTACCTCAGTGAACTGCAGATTTCTCTTTTGTAGTTATTTTGGTACATCTAGCCCACAGATTTTTGCTTTTCATCTTTCACTGCTTTACAGTAAGTGATTGTGACCTGCTGAGCTATCTTACAGGGCACCAAAGCTGGGCTGTTCTCAGGATTTGTCCTCCTTGCTGCTGCTTAGAGACCACAACACCTTATACTCATGAGTGTCTCTGGAAGGCTGCCAGGCTGCTGGGTCTTTCCAGCACAGCAACACTGTTCCTTCTCTGAGTGGTAGTGGGGAGGCGGTGGCAAAAGCCCCTCTGCCAGTGTGACAAGAACTAGCTGGTGCTGGTAGTTGGGTGACAGGCCATGTGCAGCACATTTGCAGACAACACCACCCTCTAATGGAGACTTCCATATACGTAGGACCCAAGAGCCCCAGGCAAGGACCCCCTCCTTTTCAACCCCCAGCCTCCCTAAAAGGCTAGGAAACCTCTACAGGCATTCATGGGCTCAAAACAGCTAGGTTCCTGTGGACCCCTTCACTCGCCTTTGCTGTGCGCAGGAGGACCGCAGGGGACGGAGGTAGTGCATCACTAGGTACAACAGCCATCTCCTGTGGGCTGCCCTTGGACTTCAGGCTTCACAGGAGGTGGACAAGCCTTCCTTCTAGCTGGCAGCTCTAGTCACTGCTCTTAATTTGTGCCTTATTTTCAATTTTCACAGGAGTTAACCACAAGTTAAGTGGGAAGAGATTCCAGGTAGCACATCTCCTGTGAGCAGTGAGCTTTAGGTGCTCTATGGGTTCAAGCAGAGGTGGCAATGCTTGTGCTGAAGTCTTTCTCTGGCACTCCCACTTCCCTGGCTGATTGTCATGCTGGAGCAGGCAAGCCAAGAAAATGTATCACGTGGAGATGCATTATCTCCCTCCGCAGTATTGACAGCCTGTATTCTCTCTGCTGAAGAGCTGGTGCTGGTCAGTGTGGATTGCTGTGAGACTGCTGCACTTTCCTAATATTCAAGCAGACTGTGCATACTTTATATACAGAGAGGGGTGGGGAGAGAGAGAAGGTGTGCATACATGTGTGTATGTGTCTTCAGAGGTTTCAGAGAAAAGGAGTTAAAACAGAGAAGTAATCTGTTGCTGTTTCCATACTCTGAAGTCCCTCCATGACTTTCTGCTGTAGTGCTTCCTTCAACTCCTGCCATGTTTGGTAGCTCAAAGCAACTTGCATTTCTTCCAACACTTTTTTTTTTTTTTCAGAGACTTTGGGTTTCTTTGTTTGTTTCTGGCTGAGAATACAGCCTTTTTAAAGAAAAAAGAAGCTATTGCTTCAAACTGTTTTGTGGGCCTGGCAGGGAAAGCAGAGGAGGGGAGATGCCGAATCTCTCAGGCTGTGCCAGAAGGAAGTTGCTTTCCTTAGAGGTTTCTTCCCCCTGCAGTTGACTGGGAGACATTGTTTATGCTTTACCTGGTACAGGGCCAGAGGGGTTTATAAGACTTGCTTCCAAACTCATTTTGTCCTTGGGATCGGAGCCTGAACTGTTCTTACTGTCTTTTCCATTCTGCAAGAGCACCCACCTAAGGAAAGGGAAGCTGGGCTGTGTTGGTATGAGCTGAATACATGCACAAGAGAGTTTGAAGGCAGTCCATAGCCTGGGAGAGTCTGCGTTTGATTTACTAAACGTTGAGGTCTGTAAGGATGCTCTGCTGCTCAGTGGTGGTGTGTTAAAGTGCAAGCAGGGAATGCTAGGGGAGCTGTGCATCAGGGCACTAGTACCATCAGGAATGTGCTGCTGGTGCTGCCTGTTGCAATACAGAGGTTTCACTCATGAAGGTGGTTGGACAATGATACAGCTTTTGGATGTGTACACTTATATAGGGCTTAGTGGACACGTGTGTACACACTGTTGACAGACTATATGTGCATGCATTTGAGTGCATTTTGGTGAGTACAGAGACATGTTTGTGAGTGTGAGAGAGCACAGAGGAGAGTATAACTACTGCAGGACTGATGTCCAAGAGCCAGGGGTTGCTGTGAATTTACCATATCCCAATCAGGACTGCCCTGTGACTGAAGTCCTGCCAATTGGCTGCCTCCACATGTGTCCTGCAGCCTCAACATTTGCCTTTTAAAATAAAAGCTACTTGTGATGTATTCACTCTCTTTTAAGTCTGCCCGGGAGCCCTGGCTGCTTTCCTTGCCCCTCTCTCATGCCATGTCTGTCCATAGTCGCCTCTCTCCCAGGCAACACCCTGACTCACAGGACTCCAGAGTGATGGATGACATGGCAAAAAGCTCCTGAGAGAACAGACTGTAACGTTTTTGAAAAACTAACTCCAGCCATTTTAAAAGTGGATTTGAGGGGAAGCTGGAAGGGGAAAGGATGGGCTAAAACTACTTGTTTGGTAGTTAGGATGGACTAAAACTACTTGTTTCCCCAGCTAGCTCGCTGTCTTCTGTGCCCCTGCTGTCCCACAGCTGCAGCTGAGAAGTGGCCAGATGGTCATCCTCTGAAATTACTCCATCACCCTCAGGCACTGAACATTATTTTTTTTTTTTATAAATGGACAGCTAGTGCTCTCCAGCACCATTGGCCCGTGTTGCCCAAAGCATATCCAGGAGAGCAGATTCTTCAGGGACAGAGGCACTTGCCTTAAGGAGAGGCACTTCTGTTGCCAGGGGGTAGCTTCTGCTCTTGCCACATGAATGCTTAGAGGGTATTGAATTACATGAGTAGTTACTCATAAGCTTTCCTTGCTGTCTTCACCAAACTGCCTGCCTAATTATTGCTCTTGTGTTTTCTGCCCCCTTGACAGTATGCCAAGGCACTGAAGCATTTTGGAGAGAGCGAGGGCAAGATGCAGCCAGATGAATTTTTTGGCATCTTCGACACTTTCTTACAGTCATTTGCAGAGGCCAAGCAAGATCTGGAGAATATGAGGAAGAAAAAAGAAGAAGAGGAGCGCAGGGCACGCATGGAGGCCATGGTGAGGACCTGGGCACAGGACGGTGTTTCATTCCATTACCTTTTCATGTCTCAAGAAAGAAAGGTTGAGAGAGCCTATTCTGATGCTCATGTCCTGTCACTGTTTTGTGTCCTTCTCCCTGCCACCTCTCTTTGGCATCTTTCTGTTCACAAAGGATGACATTTTTCCTGATGGCTGTCCTGTCAGCTCTCAAAGGCATACTGTTTGGCTCCTAAATTACCGTCTCGGATTCCGATACCAAATCTAGCCCTGCCTGTTCTGCCCTGGCACTTTGCAGGATGGTGTTGCCCCTGCCCAGTGCCAGACTATCCTGCATTTGGGCTGCAGGCTCTGTGCAAAAGCTCTGGGAGCCAGATCTCCCTCGGCCCTGCCAGCTGGTCAGCTTCCACTCAGACTCCATCATCATCTGCTGCATGCCTGTCGCCTGACAGCGTACAGTGACACAGTGAATGCCCTGGCACCTGCTGCAGCCCGCACTGGCAGTATTTCTCTCTGGCCAGCCTTAACGCCTTGATTACTGGGGCGCATCTGGCCTTGACGTGGCGAGAGAGCTTTTGTGCATCGTTGATTTTGCTGCTGGGAGACAGACATGTGTGTCCCCAGGGGTTCGTGTGAACCAGCCTCCCCCTCTAACCTCAGCCTTTCCTGAGGCCTGAGAACGGCTCAGCAGTCCCCTGTCTCCTTCCCCCCTGCCGGCACTTTAACCCTGGCTGCCACCATGGCCCCAGGCCTCGCTGTGGGGTGTTGCTGCTTTAAATGTTTGCAGTGCCAGAAGCACTGGTTTGTGCCTTTCAGAAGAGGAGAGAGGTAAAACACCAGGATGCCAGCAGCCTTACTGTTGGACACAGGGATAAAACATCGGGACTTAGGCTCAAGATTCCTCTCAGCCAGCCTGGAAAGTGCAGGAGCCCACTATTAAAGGACTAGGATGGTTTCGTAGGCCTAATACACCATGAGAGAGGTTGCAGTTTGCTTATGGAGTCTTCCTGCAACGTGGGGCTAGCGTGCAGAGCAAGCGACCTGCTTCTTGACAGCTGCATCCCTCCCTTGCCATTTCCACTAATCTTGGAGCTGAGCGGTGCGGGGGGATAACTGAGCTCCCTGGAACTACCCTAGGGAGAGCAAGGGCATCATGTTGACAGGTGGACCTATCCAATGATTTGTAAAATCAGGAGTTCTGTTTCATTGCTCTTTGTGTTTATAACCAGTTTCTCCTTCCAGAGTCAAGGCAATGTGCCTTCCTCTTCCCATTACTGCAACACACTGCGCCATGCAAACATGAGCTGTTTGGTGGATAGAGTTTCTGTTGATGTTTTGATATCTCACACAATTTTCATTCTCCAGTATGTTTAGCTTGTGGCTTTCTGGGTTTTTTCTTTTCTTCTTTTCCTCCTTCTGCAGGACCACAGCCTTTCTGCCTGTCAATTTAGCTTGCTGTGCCCCAAGCGCAAAGCTGTTTGTGACAATAGTAGTGACAGTGGTTTGTATAGACACATCCAAACTAACTTTAAACTCACTAGGTTAGGTACTGTCAGCATAGTAGGTGCTGCCACAGTAAGGTCACTGAAGCCTGGTCCCAGAAGCTGGGTAATTACTTATGCCAGCATCACTTGTAGACTGTCATTTGGCACAGCTACTTTGCTGGCACTATTCTACTGTAAAATTAGTGCAAAACAGCAGCAGCATAGACAGATCCCATGTGTCCTCTTTGCGCCAGGGTGGTAGTGCTTTGTAAGGCAAACATACTATGCTACTCATTCCTCATCTCTCCTGCTCTCTGCTTGCCTGTGCAGAAGAAGGGAAGCCCAGCATGGTCACCTGTTGCTCTTGGCACAGGTAATGGCCTTGTGGATGAGCTCCTGATCTCTTTTTTTCCTGAAACTGTACAGATGCATCTTAGCTGCTTCTTGGCAGTGTACCTAGTGATCTGGCATCTCAGTTAGCTAATCCTAAAGCTATGTGTGTTTCTCCACAGCTAAAAGAGCAGCGAGAAAAAGAGAGGCGACAAAAGAAAGCGAAAGCTGGAAGCATCTCCGAAGAGAGTGGGGAGTTTGATGACCTGGTATCAGCATTAAGGTCGGGTGAAGTCTTTGACAAAGACTTATCCAAGCTCAAGCGTAACCGCAAGCGTTCGGGGAACCAAGGCTTAGAGACAAGCCGGGAGCGGGTGGTGACAAAGCTAAATTATTAATTACAAGAGGAAGAAAAATAATCAACCAAAAGAAGGTGATGAAAAAGTGCAAAACAAGGAAGATGAATGTGTGCGATGGCGCCTGGCTGACAGCTGCCCCAAAGGATTTCTTTGGTCTGTGGCTAGAGACGTTACCTTTCCATGATCAGCTTTCCTCTCATCCCTCTTCTGTGCTCCTAATTTGAACCATTATAAAAGTGCCTCTGTGGAGCCAGCAGGGCCTGTGACTGGGCCATGCAGAGCCGACAGATTTGCTTCTGGGAGTTTGTTGTGTCATCGAAGTCCTCATGGTGATAACAGAAAGTACTTGGGCCTTGCAGACTGCCTCACAGCTGGAGAAAGATAGTTGTCTGTGTGCCAAAGCAAAAACTAGTCACGATCTTGCTTATTATCTTGCTGATAATAAGCAAGACTAATTTCAGAGCAGCTCTGTAAACACCTGTTGCTTCTTCAGGATCTAGTCTGGCCTTCAGGAGCTTGTCAAGATGTGGTTCTCGAGGTTTCCAATTCCCTTCCAGAATTGGATTTTATAAGCCGTTGGTTAGCACCTGAAAAATGCTTTTGATCTCATGTTCTGTATAGTATTTTTGTGTGGCCTACACTGTCCAAATCAAGTGATGCTCAGCCGGAAGCATCAGGTTCTGGAACAAATTGAAATTCAAAAATCAGGATCAACATAAAATGCTTTGCAAAAGTCTTTTGGATTCTGCTTTTCTAGAAGCAGTTTTCTGGAATTTGTTGATGGTTGAGCCTCGAAGCTATGAAATGCATCTTCTAGGAAAGAAGCTCTGGCTTTTCTTTAGAAAACTAAGCCACTGCCATGTTGGAATTACAAGTAGATGACTGTGGAGCCTGTTCTCGTTGCTGGAGGGTGGGAGGGAAACAGCAGAACATTTCTTACCTGTTTGTGCAAGGTTTTTTAGTGCAGCCCAATGGAAATCGGGAGCTCCCTAGTATCATCCACAGGTCACAAGCAGCAAAAAACAAATGGCGTCACTGGCTGCAAGAAATGAGATTTCTTTTCCACTTGATGCTAGCCGTGATTGCTGTTGGCATGAACTGGTCTTTCTGTCTAACAGGCTGATCTTCGCTGCACACACCCCACTCCTACCTAGGGGAATCACGTAACTCAGTAAGATATGAATGGTGTTGAAGGAGAGCCGTGGAGCCCACAGCCTTTTTCATTTTGAAGGGATTACTTGGGATGAACCAACAGAGGGTCCCATAATGAAAACTGAGAATTTTTCCAGGACACAGAATTGTGTAAGCTGAGCAGGCTTTGGAGATGGGTTAATTCATAAGAAAATAATAGACTTGTGTTTAAGCTACATGTATGAAACACGCAGCAAAAAAGCAAAGAACTCGAAGAAGAGGCCTGAATTCTGAATTCTGTGTGTCTTCATGGCTCTAGGAAAGGGATTGGATTATGTGGGCTGTCATGGGCTTTTTTTTTTTTTTTGCTTCCTTTTTTATTATCTTCCCTGGAGAAGAAGAAAATAAAGAAATGGTTGATGGATTCTTCCTCCTAGACAGGAAGAAAAGAGAGAACATTTGAGAAGAGGGACACGCCATCTACAAACTATGCATCAATAGTCAACAGCACAAAATGTCAAGGAATCCCAGGGAAGTGAAAAAAGCTCTATTTGTCACTTTAATCATTTGGTTTGATTTTTCTCTGAATGTCACTTAACCTCAGGCTCCGCACCGAGTCTGCAGAACAGAACTTCCTCTGCCATGCACGCTGCCTGATCAGTATTACACACTACCAATATTGGAGAAGCAAACTGTGGTGGTTTTCTGAACACTTTGAGAGTAAAATAATTATGTAAACTATGGAAAGAAGCAAAAAAGTCAGAATTGTTAAACTCTAATGTTTCACTGTTTACTGAATTTTGAGTCTCCCCCCCCAGTATTTCCCTATTTACGACATTCCAGACTGCCGCGCCTCTGTATAATACTCACCGTAAAGAGCTGGTATCTTACAAGAGCTGGGTGCATTCTCCTCCCTTACTATCCCATTCCCCTCTGGGATTAGCTATTAACAGCAATGCCCATTGCAGTGGACACAAGCACCTTGTAGAACAAAGACTGTATTTCATAAAGGTTTTTGAAAGTTTAAGAAAAACTCTCACTTTTTTAAGCATTTTTATTTTAAATTACAAAATGGATTTTTAGAAATGTCTCTTGTAAATTATATTAACAAGCTCCTTGCTGCTCCCTGAAGTAGACATGCTATATCCCAGCCCTTTTTGTTTGTCTTGTTTTAAAGCATGCCATATAACCTATGCCATGTAAGCCATATGAGAGGTGGTAATATGTGCCAAATTGGTATACAGTTGAGTTTAGATTTGGATAATCCCTGAATTCCAAAGATGATGCTTTTAGGGATTAGAACATTGTAGGTTTTTTCCCCTCCTTGTTCTCCCTGGGTTTAGGACTCTCCCAGAAATTCAGGTGTAGTGCCAAGGTTAGCCCTGGTGCAAGATGATGTGACTCATGGCTCTGTCCAATTTACGGCTGCTTGCTTGCTCCCCAAGTACTTGTTTGATAAGGCAGACTGTCAGCATGGCAGTGCTGTCAGAGAAGAAACACCTCAGGGCAAAACCCTTGAACGTAAATACAGCATTCCCCCCGCCCCGATATTTGTCAAAGCAGGTTTGTGCTGTGCTTTTTGAAACTGAAGTCACTTTGCCAGGCCACAAATGTAGCAAAAGCAGGGAAAGTGATAAGCCCTCTGTCCATTTGTGTACACAGTTCAATACCGATTTAAAGAGATCCTATATGATCGTACGTGGCACTCCGGCCACACTGACAGAGTCAAAGAAATCTGCTGTAGTTTTGCCACCTCCTTGACTCCTACAGAAATAATGAGAGATTGTGCAACTCCTATAAATCAGCTGTGGGATACTTACTGGGACTGACAGAAAGCTCGGAGTCGTGCCCCTGATTCACTGCAGCTCAACTTTCGCAGCACTCCAGTGCCCCAAACTCCTGTTTTGAATCTGTGATGGTGGCTGAAGGCTTCATTCAGCATGCTGGACAGTCCCCCCTGGCTCTTGACTCCACGGTGAATGTTCATAAAGAAGGTTTTGGAAAAGCTCAGTTACACGCTGAGGCAAGCAGTGATTTCATATGTGGTGACAAGCAGAGAGGCCCATTAATAGGTCTACCATATGAGATGAGGCTGGCCACACAGAAGATAAGGAAAAAAGTTGGCTCTGCTCTAGGGCCTGGCATCAGATTCTTGCTGAAGCCAGGTTTGTCCTTGTTTGTCATCTCTTGGGTACTGTGAGTGCATCTCTGTTCTTCATCAGCAGTTCTGGTAGAGTTGCTGAGTGCTGAAGGAGAAAGGAAAATCTTATTCCTTGTCCTCTAGTGCTAGCAAAGCCTGAGCCAGGTATAGCAAGCAGTCGTGAGGTATAACATTGTGGCATACCCTCTTTATCGCACTGAGAGCTGGAGAAGAGCCAGGGTCTGCTGTTGTCCTTGCACCTGTGCCTAGCACCTGCATGTTAAGTGAAATCATTCTGTCTTTGGAAATAAGTGGAGGAGGAGGAGATGTGAGAAAGAGGGGTATAATCGAGGGCTTGTTCTGCTTCCTGCAGAAATGTAGCCATTGCTAACTTTATGATGATGTTCTTCACACCTAGAAGAGGAGGTACTTTCTAACCCTCCAGTCCTTGTCCCTAGAGGTCTAGTGCTCACTCACTTACCTCTGTGTCTCTGCATTGTTCTTAAGCAGGTTGCATTAGGACGACCCCAGAAAAGACTGAAGAACTCCCTTCCTCTCCCACTCCCTTTGGTCTGGGTCACTCTTCTCAGCTGGTCATAAGTCTCTGGAAATGCTACAAGGTAAAGTGACTTCAGAGCAGCAAGGCCCTTCCATGCCCTGCAGCACAGCTATCATCCGGGCACCGGTTCCCTATGAGAGCAGAAGTAGGACTAGTGTTCAGGGGTAAGAGACTCCCCACTAGGGAGACGACTTGGGCATCCTTCAGAAGCATTTCTGTAATGTGTTCACAATGTCTGAGGAAGGGAAAGGAATCGCGAGGGGCCCTGGTGGGAGACTGTGGGGCAGGTGTTTCCGTAATGGTCAGCCCCACTGGCTGAATCTTTCCTCTTCTTTAGAAAAGCTCACACTGAGCTGGGTTGCATGGGAGAAGTTTGTGTCAGGAGTTTCCGTGAGGGGAAAGGAGATCAGTTGTACAGTTGATGATGTACATGATATATGCAGTTTCGTTTCTGGGTTGGTTGTTTTGAGTTTTCTTTTGTTTGTTTGTTTGTTTGGGGGTTAAATGATTTTTAAAAAAAAGGTTTTAGGAATCTCTAAGGGGAACCTGTAAATCTGGCACCTCTATTTATTTTGCCTTATTTTAGTTCGCTATGTTTGTATGTATACACTGCATTACAGCAAAGACTATTGAGACCGTGCCAGGGCATTACACCGGCTAGACAGCTGGCTTGGCTATTGTGCAGCAAGCTGAGCTAGGCAAGGGGATGCGTGTGAGCCATCTTGGTGTGGGAAGGGAGGGATAAAAAAACTTTCCTTTTGCTTTTGTCATAATCACTCTGGTCCTGGGAAGGCATGCGTTTTAAAGCATGTGGTAAACTGATGCAGGTTGGTTATTTTAGAACACTTTGAAACCTGTTTATTTCTCATCATGAATCATGGTGGGAAGATTGAGAAGAGTTAAGCTGCACAGTTGCTCTCTCAAACTTCACCTTTCCACGCGAATTCTGGCTATAATGCCAGAGAAGCTGGGATAGATGGGCAAAAGTTGTTCACACCTTGTAACTTCTCACCAGAGTTAACGTGCTGGTGGGACAAACTGGGACAGTTCTCCTTCCTCAGAGCTAGTATTCCTTCCTATCTTCAAGGCCAAGGAAGAAGGATTTCCTCTAATTCCGCTCTCTCCTCCTCCATCCCACCTCCCCAGATCATCCAGGGTAAACAAAATCTTTCTACTGGTTGGTTTTCTACCTGTGGAGTCTCTAGCAATCACCAGGTGTTTGGCCATGGCTCCTTGGCTTCTGTACTCGACATAGGAGATTTCTGGTTGCCTAACATCCAAACAGGTAGCCTCCATTGGCCACCTTAGCTTCTGTTATCAAAGATTGAAGAGGCCAACCTGGGTAACACAATTTGGCCAACTGAAAATATAGAATTTATACATGTATGTATATATATATAAAAGCGATCTACTACTCTAA